ATACCTAGTAATGGGATTGCTGGGTCAAATGGTATTTCTATTTCTAGGTCCTTGAGGAATCGCCACACTGTCTTCCATAATGGTTGAACTAATTTGCACTCCCACAAACAGTGTAAAAGTGTTCATATTTCTCCACATCCTCTCCAGCATCTGTTGTCTCCAGATGTTTTAATGATTGCCATTCTAACTGGTGTGTGATGGTATCTCAGTGTGGTTTTGATTTGCATCTCTCTAATGACCAGTGATGATGAGCATTTTTATCATGTTTGTTGGCCTTATAGATGTCTTCTTTTGTAAAGTGTCTGTTCATATCCTTTGCCCACTTTCGGATGGTTTGTTTGTTTCTTGTAAATCTGTTTTAGTTCTTTGTAGATTCTGGATATTAGCCCTTTGTCAGATGGGTAGATTGCAGAAATTTTTTCCCATTCTGTTGGTTGTCAGTTCACTCTAATGATTGTTTCCTTTGCTGTACAGAAGTTCTGGAGTTTAATTAGATCCCATTTGTCTATTTTGGCTTTTGTTGCCATTGCTTTTGGTGTTTTAGCCATGAAGTCCTTGCCTATGCCTTTTCCTGAATGTTTTTGCCTAGGTTTTCTTCTAGGGATTTTATGGTGTTATGTCTTATGTTTAGATCTTTAATCCATCTGGAGTTAATTTTAGTGTAAGGTGTCAGGAAGGGGTCCAGTTTCTGCTTTCTGCACATTGCTGTCTAGTTTTCCCAACATCATTTATTAAACAGGGTATTCTTTCCCCATTGCTTGTTTTTCTCAGGTTGCCAAAGATCAGATGACTGTAGATGTGTGATGTTGCTTCTGAGGCCTCTGTTCTGTTCCATTGGTCTAGATCTCTGTTTTGGTACCAGTACCATGCTGTTTTGAATACTGTGACCTTGTAGTATAGTTTGAAGTGAGGCAGCGTGATGCCTCCAGCTTTGTTCTTTTTCTTAGGATTGTTTTGGCTATGCTGGCTCTCTTTTTGTTTCATATGAAGTTTAAGGTGAATTTTTCCAGTTCTGTGAAGAAGGTCATTGGTAGCTTGATGGGGATAGCACTGAATCTATAAATTAGTTTGGGCAGTATGGCCATTTTCATGATGTTGATTCTTCCCAACCATGAGCATGGAATGTTTTTCCATCTCTTTGTGTCCTCTCTTATTTCATTGAACAGTGGTTTGTAGCTCTCCTTGAAGAGGTCCTTTACATCCTTTGTTAGTTGTATTCCTAGGTATTTTGTTCTCTTTGCAGCAATTGTGAATGGGAGTTCACTTTTGATTTGGCTCTCTGTCTGTTGTTGATGTATAGAAATGCTTGTGATTTCTGCACATTGATTTTGTATCCTGAGACTTTGCTGAAGTTGCTTATCAGTTTCAGGCGATTTTGGGCTGAGACAATGGGGTCTTCTAAATATACAATCATGTCATCTGCAAATAGAGACAATTTGGCTTCCTCTTTTCCTAATTGGACACGCTCTATTTCTTTTTCTTTCGTGATTGCTCTGGCTAGAACTTTTAATACTATATTTAATAGGAGTGGTGAGAGAGGACATCCTTGTCTTGTACCAGATTTCAAAGGGAATGCTTCCAGTTTTTGCCCGTTCAGTGTGATATTGTCTGTGGGTTTGTCGTAAAGAGCTTTCATTATTTTGAGATACATTCCTTTGATACCCAGTTTATTGTGGGTTTTTAGCATAAAGGGCTGTTGAATTTTGTCAAAGGCCTTCTCTGCATCTATTGAGATAATCATGTGGTTTTTGTCTTTGGTTCTGTTTATGTGATGGATTACATTTATAGACTTGTGTATGTTGAACCAGCCTTGCATCCCCAGGATGAAGCCTACTTGGTCACGATGAATAAGCTTTTTGATTTGCTGTTGCATTCTGTTTGCCAGTATTTTATTGAAGATTTTTGTGTCAGTGTTCATCATGGATATTGGCGTGAAGTTTTCTCTTTTTTGTTGTGTCTCTGCCAAGTTTTGGTATTAGGATGATGTTGGTCTCATAAAATGAGTTAGGGAGGATTCCCTCATTTTCTATTGTTTGGAAGAGTTTTGGAAGGAAGGGAACCAGCTCCTCTTTGTATGTCTGGTAGAATTCGGCTGTAAACCCATCTGGACCTAGGCTTTTTTAAGTTGGTAGGCTATTAATTGCTACCTCAACTTCAGCCCTTGTTATTGGTCTATTCAGGGTTTCAATTTCTTCCTGGTTTAGTCTTGGGAGAGTGCAAGTGTCCAGAAATTTATCAATTTCTTCCAGATTTACTGTTTTGTGTGACAAAGGTTTTCAATGTGTTCTTAATTCTAACTGCTGTAAGGAAGGTGGGAAGAGAGCTCATGAGAAATTATTATATATGATTCTGCTATTCAACGTGCACATGCTCTTGTGGTAGAGATTGAAAAAATACACAAAACAATATTGAATTGCATAATAGTGTTTTGTAAATTTGGTAGAGTCTCAAAATTGAGAGAAGAGAGTGATTCATAATGTCTGGAATCGTTAGGTAAACCTTCCTGCAAATGGAGAGACATGGACTGCATTTTGGGGAAGGGGAAAGGTTTGACCAAGAAAGACAAAAAGGTAGGTTGACTATTCTAGAAAAGATGTAAGATACTAGTACAGTTATAGGTATGTTTTCATGGGGCTGTGGAAAGTGTCATGGGATTAGAACAGTGCTAAGCAAAAGAACATATGTAAAAGCTGTTCTTAGCACCAAGCCTGACACATACTCTCCTTCCTTCCTTCCTTCCTTCCTTCCTGCCTTCCTTCCTTTCTCTCTCTTCTTTTTTTTTTTTTTTTTTTTTTTTGAGACGTAGTTTCGCTCTTGTTACCCAGGCTGGAGTGCAATGGCGCGATCTCAGCTCACCGCAACCCCCGCCTCCTGGGTTCAGGCAATTCTCCTGCCTCAGCCTCCTGAGTAGCTGGGATTGCAGGCACGCGCCACCATGCCCAGCTAATTTTTTGTATTTGTAGTAGAGACGGGGTTTCACCATGTTGACCAGGATGGTCTCGATCTCTTGACCTCATGATCCACCTGCCTCGGCCTCCCAAAGTGCTGGGATTACAAGCTTGAGCCACCGCACCCAGCCTCTTCTTTTTTTTTTTTTTTTTGAGATGGAGCTCTAACACTCAGGCTGCAGTGCAGGGGTGTGATCTTGGCTCACTGCAACCTCTGCTGCCCGAGTTCAAGCCATTCTACTGCTTCAGCCTCCAAAGTAGCCTGCCACTTCATCCAGCTAATTTTTGTATTTTTAGTAGAGATGGGGTTTCATCATCTTTGCCAGGCTGGTTTTGAACTCCTGACCTCATAATCTACCCACCTCAGCCTCCCGAAGTGCTGGGATTACAGGGATGAGCCACCGCACCTGGCCTGACATTACTTTTCTAATTATATTTGGCTTAAACCATTTCAATAGTCATTTAATTTACATCTCAGTTTCTAACCTCTTTCATCTTCAAAGTAATTTTATATGTTGCTTCCAAAGTATTTTTTCTAAATTACAAATTAATTCACATTTCTCTCATGCTTAAAATTATTTATTAAATTTCTGTTGCATTCAGAAAATAGTCCAAGCTCATTATTTTGGTTTTTGTAAGATGACCTCTGTTTATCTCTGCAAATCTTTCCTCACCTGTTCATTTCTTGTAATAAACAATGAACTACTTCAATGTATGCTCTGCCATATTCCCAAAGTTATGTCTTTAAACATGCTGCGACTTCTCCCTGGAATATGCTTGTCTTCATGTCTATTTGTCTTTCAAATCCCAGTTCAGATATCACCTATCACCTTTTTCCTTAAACTCAGTAAAGTTAACCTATTTTTTGTGTTTGTGTTTGTGTATATAATACATACCTTTAATACACAATGTATTTTTTTAAACTTTTAATATTTTAAAATAAGTAAAGCATTTATTGGTTTAATAAATGCATACAATAGGTTGCAAAAATCAATGACAAACTTTCTTCAAAAGATAAAAAAGAGGCCAGGTATGATGGCTCATGCCTGTAATCCCAGCACTTTGGGAGGCCAAGGTGGGAGGATCACCTGAAGTCAGGAGTTCGAGACCAGCCTGACCAACATGGAGAAACCTCGTGTCTACTAAAAATACAAAATTACCCAGGCGTAGTGGTGCATGCCTGTACTCCCAGCTACTTGGGAGGCTGAAACAGGAGATTGGCTTGAAACCAGGAGGCAGAAGTTGCTGTGAGCTGAGATTGTGCCATTGTACTCCAGCTTGGGCACCAAGAGTAAAACTCTGTCTCCAAATAAATAAATGTAAGTAAAAAAGAAATTAGAATAAAATGTAATACAACCAAATCAAGAATACAAGGTATCTTATTTTAAACTATGTAATACACCAGCTGAAGTTGGATTAAAATAGTGTTTTAAGCTTCTCATAGAAGAAATTTTTGAGATTCGGTATATCCACAAGATACATCTGTATCAAAATATTCCATGTACCCCATAAATATATACACCTTCCATGTACCCACAAAAATAAAAAATAAAATAAAATAGCAAGTGCAATTAGAAGTCAGATGCTTAAGAACTATATAAATTTCCATTGTTCTGAAAGAAATTTTTCCCAACGATTTTCATAATAAGCTATTGCCTGATAAAATGATCAGTTGCATTCAGGATTGATATTTAGCTAGTATGCATTAGTATGGGCATCTTGGTTGTTAAAGTGTTGAAATATCATACCTTCTTATTACTGAGGGCAAATAGCCACCACTTTGGATGATTTCTCTTCTCCAATTTCTGCTGTGGACCCTTTCTCAGAAGTCTCTGCTAATCTTTATCCTTTCCCTCCAGGAGCCAGTGATGAAACCTGGTGCAGCAGGGGTGAGTTCACCCTTGCTGAATCTTTAAGACCTGCTCCAGCCCTCTGGGGTTGTTTCTCTTGATTTGGTCAGTACCAGTGCCTCCTTACTTGTTAAATACAGCATGTGGCCTATTATCTCTGATATATTTTTTTAACAAGACATGATCTCATTCTGTTGTGCAGGCTGGAGTGCAGTAGTGATCATAGCTCACTGAAGCCTGGAACTCCTGGGCTCAAGTGATCCTCCTGCTTCAACCTCCCTAGAAGCTGGGACTAGAGGTACGTGCCACCATATTTATGTAATTAATTTTTTTTCTCGTAGAAACAGGGTCTCTCTATGTTGCCCAGTCTGTTCTTGAGCTCCTGGCTTCAAGTGATCCTTTCACCTTGTCCTCCCAAGTGCTGAGATTATAGATGTGAACCACTGTGCCCAGCCTCTTCCCCATTTAAAACAATATACCTCTTGGAATTTTAGAAACTTCTTTTCCAACTTTACATATCCACTTGGGTTTTTGACAGGAACCTCTAACTTCACATCATAAATGAAGTGTTTTAAAAAGTTGAATGAGTAAATATTGAATAGTTAAGTATTGAATTTTATTATATATTCTCCCCAGTATCTTTCTCAACCCAAGCTGATAGTCTTATGCCAAAGCATTATATAATTTCTTAAAAGCAAATTTAGGAAGACCAAAGAATTTATACTTCTGGATGAACAGAATAACCATTCATTATTCTGGCAATGTTCCAAATAAGATTATTTGTCACAGTCAAACTTTTAATGAGAATTAGCAACAAAGTGTTTAAGATTTTAATTTGGCGAGAAGAACAGCAGCTGTTTTGTGTTGCTAACTAAGGACAGAACAGGCATTGATAATATGCAGGTTGAGGAGACAGAGCAGAACTTGCAGTGAAATTGGAGGAGCCAATCAGGACAGTTGTCTGGACAGATGGCCACTTCCTCTCAGTACTGAGGTGGCAGAGGATTTTTCTTCAGAAAATAGTTCTGGGTCCATGCCAAATTTGAAAAAGCAGCGAGCACCCAAGTGCATTTATACTCCAGAAATCATGGTTTTGCTATGCCATTATGAGGAATTAACAAAGCATGTTTAACCAAAGCTCTTGATTATCATATTTTTTGAATTTTAAATCTACTTTATTAAGACATCATCTAAATACAATAAAAAGAGCTCATTTTAAGTGTACAGTTCAGAAAGTTCTGACAAAAGTGATTGCCCATGGAACCCAACTACCATCAAGGTATATAATATATTTATCACATCCAAAAAGTTACTCCATAGTCAATTTCTTTCTAGTCAATATCCATGCCCCCACCCCCAGTACCATAAGCCCCAGGCAACCACTTAAATGGTCAAGCATTTAGTAGAATGTCCCTCAATTGGGTTTACCTGATTTTTTAAATGATTAGCATGAGGATATTAATTTTGTAAAAAAATACAACAGAAGTAATGTGTTCTTTTTAGTGTATATCAGAGATTCGTGATATATATCAGTATATCTTAGGACAGGTGATGTTAATCTTGATCACTTTGTTAAGGTGGTGCCTACCAGGTTTCTTAACAAAAATGAAGTCATTATTTTTAGCTTTTTAAACTCTAGTCATTAGCAATGAGCCACTAAGTCCCAAACAAGATTATTTGTCACAGTCAAAATTTTAATGGGAATTAGCGACAGAGTGTTTAAGATTTTAATTTGGTGAGAAGAGCAGCTATTTTGTATTGGTAAGGACAGATCCACAGGCATTGATAACATGCAGGTTGAGGAGAGGGATCAAAACTTTCAGTGAAACTGGAAAGGCCAATCACTTGGTTAAGGTGGCGCCTGCCAGGTTTCTTAATAAAAATGAAGTCATTACTTTTACCTTTTAAAACTCTTGTCATTAACAATGAGCTGTTTTTGTCTGTAGACTCGTAGTATCAAGTCAAAACCCTGTAATCCTGTTACTTTGGCCGGCTTCTTTCTTTCCTAGCACCATCGTTGCTAATCACAAGTCTACTGCTTACCAACTCTACTGGACAAATTTCAGTTACCATTGTGATTACTCTAAAACAAGTCGAATGTCTAGTAAGGATTTAAAGGCAAACATTAAATCATAATTTCTCTTTAGTGGGAAGATCTGATAGCCTCTTTTATAATGACAAATTTTGTTCTTTTGGTAGTAATCTGTTCTGGCTATTGTATTCCCTTTAATTCTCACAAGTATTTTGCATAAGAAATCATTAAAGAAATATGAGATACTTATATCCATCTTTATTTGGAATCTATAATTAGGAATTGCTTTATGCTAGCGAAATACAGATATAATAAAAGCAAAAAATACATGACAAACATTCCATATTCTTTTACTAATTAACCAAGAAACTTGGAGAAATTATGTTTTAGGAAATCAGGAAGTAATCTGTATTAGCCTAGATATAATAATTTGGAATTATAGAGCAAAATTAATATAACTATATGTAAGATTTTTGGAACTGATAACATTTGTGCTTCAGCAATGGCACTTGATAATGTTTAAATAGTTAATAAAAATAAAATTTAATTTGGCCAAGAAAATATTATTTGCCCAAAATGATTAATGTAATTTCTGGTATCTGAAAAATTTTCATAATGTAAAATTAGAGAAGAAGATAAAATTATTAAATAATAAGAAACTGATTTTTTTCTCAATTTCTGTAAAAATGTCATACAGCAAAATTTATGTGCATCAGTACAGCTTTGTAGACTCTTAAATAGCACAAATTTGTACCAGGTCTAGAATGTTACATTTCTAAATTGAGGCAAAATTACTGCCTTCCAAGAAAAAGAGATAACACATTAGTATTTTCACTAACATGTCATGGTTACCAAAGCTTAGGTTTCTATGGAAGCAGGAACATTAATCTACTAGGTACTGAATAATAAACCAATTGCATTATTGTGTTATAGCCAAGATGATAAATATCTGCAGTAAGGTGTACACTAATTGTCAGTCATAAAACATTTTGTGAACAAGCATTTTGGTCAATGTACTAATCTATATCCTTAGGGAATATAAAAATCAGTGAGACACCCCATTTGTCTACATGTAGAATTATAATACAAGCTTGAAATTGGAGAGGCTTTAAGTAACATTTTTGTAAGGTTGCAAATAAAAGGCAGTTTTAAACTTATGCTTCCGTGAAATTAGCCACAAACACAAGCTTAGTGGCCTACCAGGAAAAGGACTTACTCTTGATCTAAGATGCCCTTTTTTTTTTTTGAGACAGGGTCTTGTACTTTCACTCAGGCTAGAGTGCAGTGCAGTGGCACTATTTCAGCTCACTGCAACCTCTGCCTGCCTCCCGAGTCAAGTGATTCTCCTCCCTCAGCTTCCTGAGTAGCTGTGATTATAGGCACACACCACCATGCCTAGCTAATTTTTGTATTTTTAGTAGAGACAAGGTTTCAGCATGTTGGCCAGGATGGTCTCGATCTCCTGACCTTGTGATCTGCCCACCTCAGTCTCCCAACGTGCTGAGATTACAAGTGTGAGCCGTCATGCCTGGCCTAAGATGCCATTTTTCAATCAAATCATAGACATTTCAATATCAGCACATTGGGGGGCAGAGATGCAGCTTAGAAAACATTGCAACAAATATACTATTTTTGTTCTCTATCCAATAACATGGTTTTTTTTTTTTCATATTATCCTGTACTGTCTCCTTGTTACACATCACAAAGTTTATATTTTCTTCATATTTAAAGTATGTATAAAGATTTTTTTAAATGTACTTCAGCCATTGGCAAGTGTGCATATTCAGCATCACTGGTACATACTGCTTTTCATATCATGATTTTAAGCACTAGCACCTTTAGGATTGTTCACAGAATTTGAAAGCACAGCAAATAATACAGAGTATTTTTTGTATTTCTTATTTAGCAGAATCTATCATTTTGTTTTTCCTTTAATTTACCATTTCTTGAAGTCAAACAGCTTTTTTTGAGTTAGCTAGAAGCTTTTGACAGGTACTTTTTAATAACTTAAAATAGTGAGAATGTTTTTTATTTGTTCTGAGATAATTGTCTATTTTAACTGCCTCAGATTTCTCAATGTCAAAACAAAGCTGAGTTTTGTCTACTTATAGACTTATTTCTGAGCTGTACTTCTGAATTGGTTCTGTGATAAAATTGACTTGCTTTACAAGATGTTTAAATATAGTCCTTTTTCACTAATGAATATTTACTTCATTTATAGTCAATATATTTGATATATCTAGGTTCATTCTTCTGATAATGAAAAACTTTTTATTTCAAAGATACTGCATGTGAGTTAATAAATGTCAGAAAAATAAAACAAGAGAGAGGAAAACTTTCTATTGTTCCCTTATTCAAAATCCGTTACACACACATATTTTTAAAGAATGATATGACTAAGCCTATGCAAAGACAGGTAAATTTGTTGTTCCAGCTAAATGAGTACATGCATCCAGATGAGGACCTTAAATTATATGAGCAGACTTGGCAACAGTGTTCTGCATAGCGACCTGCACTGGACTGGGGTGCTCATTCTCCCAAAAAGAAACCCCATAGAATCTAAATCACTTCCAGTAAATCCATAACCAAAAGCCTAAGAAGAAAGACTTGTTGCCTTGAAAGAGGCCATTTCTATTTTTAAACCTTATTGCTCTTTAAATTATAAAAGCAATAATCTTTGTTGTAATAAATTCTTACAACACAGAATAAAATGTTAAAAACGTTCATTCCTTTCTTATCAGTCTCTTTCCTCAAGGAGGATCACAGTTGGGCGTCTTTTAAGGTATTAGTATATGCAAGCATTCTCAATGTGTACACATTCTTACACACATTGTGGAATATTTCATGTATGTCTATCAGGCTTATTACATAAAGATCTACCTCATTTTTTGATATTCTTGCAGAATATTTCATTACATGGGCATACCATTATTTATTTTACAATTCTTCTATTGTAAATTTTATAGATTGATTCATTTTCTATTTTCTGTAACAAACCACGCTGTCATAAAGACTTCTGTATAGAAATCTTTGCAAATATGTATTATATTACTGTAGGATTCTTAGAGGTAAAATTTGCCACAAGGAATTGCACATTTACCATTTTGATAAATAAAGCCAAATTGTTTACAAAAACAAGATCCTGTCTATTGATAATCTTTACCAGTGTATGCATGATTCTGTATACCTTCATATATTCCAGTTATTATTAACATATTTCTTCTGATTGTATTTATACCTTTAGATATTTAGTCACCTGAAATTTA